ATTGAAGCCACGTTAGAATTACGATCACCTATTTTATCTTTACCTACCTTAATTACAAAACACATAATTCATAAGTTTATTTAAATAATACATCAAATAACAAGAATATTAAATACATATACTTTATTCATGATTTAGACCATTTGATTTTCACACACAGTTGTCTATATCTCACTGTTTAATAATGACCAATTTTTTATGTATTGTAAATTTTTCTAAGAGTTTAAAAACTTTCTTAAAACCTGAATTTTATGCTACTCATGTAATTTGTTAAGGCACCTTATGTCAGTTTTACAATAAGTATTTATGGCACAAGTAATAATCAGATAATATGTTCAAAAGTTAACTTAATGTTTAACAATGAAATTGAAAGTGTTCCGCTTAATTATGAAGTATTTTCCATTTCTCCCAAAGGACCTGTGTGATACTTGGTTTGAGTAAACATTGATGTACCCTACTTTCTAACTGAAATACACTGAGATCCTGACTATTACAGAAGCCCCAGCACTCTATCAATATTTTTGCATCATTACAGATTATGTAACACTTGCATCTGTCCCCAATCTACTCTGAAACATGCCACAGTCACAGAAGAGGGAGAGACAACTCACAAAGAAATGAAGAGAGAATTCACATTAAAACTGAAGTTTTAACAAGATCATGCAAAGTAAATAGGACTTGGAAATGGAAACCTGTGGTTACTACAGAGTTACAATTGGAAAACAGACCTACCTCATATCAAATCCTACTAAGACAGAAATAACTCAACACATATTCTCTCCTCTCACACATTTGAATAAAATATAACTTAAATATTAAAAAGTAATAAAATACAAAGTTTGATAAGCATCAGATCCAACACCCATGCAACTACCACCCTGTCAAGAAACACAGGATTCCAGGGATCACCAAGATCTTTCCTCATTTAAATTTCCAGTTAGCATCCTCTTTCTCCTTACATATATTGCCACCACTTAGACCTCTAACATTATCTTGACATCTAATGTGTACTATGTGTTAGTTTTGCCTGTTTTTCAAATTTATGTAACTAGAACAATGTAACACAAATTCTTTTGTGTCTAGCTCATTCTCCTCAAGTTCTTGTGATAGCCATCCAAGACATCTCTCCATCTTAATGACGATGACTAGGCTAGATGTAAATTACTGTGGCTGGTGGATAAGACACACAGATTGATTGAAATCAGGTGGAGCCCAGTTTAGATACTAGAGTGGGGTCAACTTTACTGACAACAAAGGATCATAATGATTATTAAAGAAAAATTTTATGCATGCAACTGATAGACAGATGAACTTTGGTAAATTGTTGACTGCAATAATATTTTGATTTCATTTTTTTCTTAAGACAGGTCTTTGTGAATGAGTCTACCACTAGGTCCAAAAATTAGCAACTTAAAATAATAAATATGTATTATATTACACAGCTCTGAGGATTAAGAATCTTTGAACAACTTAGTAGGAAAGGTGTGACTCTGTTTCTCTCATGAGGTTGCTGTCAAAATAATGGCTGGTGCAATGTAGTCATCTGAAGGCTTGACTAGGGCAGGAAATTCATCTTGCAAGAAAGGCTCATTACGTAGGTGTTAGAAATATACTTGATTTTATTGCTATTAATAGCTGTTCATAAGAGTCTTTATTTCCTTGTCACATGGTCCTTTCAACAGGGCTGCTCATGGTTCCATAGTTGGCTTCCCAAGATCAAGTGATACAAAGGGAGAAAAGAGGGTGAAGCCACACTGTCCTTTGTAAACTAGACTCAGAAGCGGCATGCTATCATTTCCACTGTATTCCACTAGTCACACAGATCAACCCTGATTCAGTGTGGAAAGAAATCATGCAAAGGCATGTGCACCAGAAAGTGGGATCATGGGAGGCATCTTACAGATTGACTATAACCCCTGCTTTATGGATTTTCACCTTTTATAGTGAGCACAGACTGATAAAGTAAGACATAACTGTTTTAGTACTGTAACATTTCTAAGTACAACTACAAAACTTATGATGTGACTCAAAAATGGATAAACCAAGTGGGGAGTAGGGTTGGTGCCTCCATGGTCTCATTATACACACTATTATTTTGCTATATTGTGTGTTTCTTGGACTAGACCTTACCCTTTACATTGAACACTGAGATAGTTGCTCAAGTAGATCTTTCCATATGCATTAACTGATTTCACAGCAAAAAACAAAGAGCAAAAGAAGAAAATTAATGTGTCTTTCCCAAGAGAATGTATGAGAAATCTCATTTTGCAGGGAAATCTTTTTTGGGAGGAAGTGGGTAGAAAGACCTTCAAATCAAAGAAGTCTTTCCCACCCCAAAGGCTACTATTATATTTTCAGGGTAAAGGAGAGCAGGATGCAGGGAAGAGTGGGGAGAAGACTCAGCAAAATGAATGGGTCAGATGGTCCCGCACTGAGTGTGACCAACATGATCAGACCATGCTGTGAGAAAGTCACTCTGCCGTGCGTGACCACATTCTCCATTCAACACAGGGCTTTACAGCATAATTCCCTGAAATGATGTGGGAGCTTGAAAAAACCTCTGAGTTGTAATTTGGAGGCAACGGGAATTTTCTTCTCTCAATGGGGACAATTTTGACCTAGATTATTCTCTGAAATCACATATCATCCATGTTTTCACCTTCTGTTTACTCATTGCTCTTGCAACTGTAATGAATGTTTATGATTTCTCAGGAAAAACATAAATTTGGCTCTGGACACTTCATGGGTGATGATGTGAAATGTGATATTGAACCTATGCTTGTGTTTGGCTAAATGAAAAGAGTTGAAATTCATCCTGAATGATGTTATGTAAATGGACCATCTTTGGTTCATTACAAGAAAATTGCTCTAAGCAGATAAAAAGCAAACAAACAAAAAACAAAAATGAAGTTGCTTCATGGGAGAAAATCAGGGAGATGGGATAGTTGGGACAGAAAACTATTTCCATTATCAGCGTATCTATACTAATTTAGATTTGTAATTAAAAATATGGTGTGAAATCACGTGGACAATAAAAATACATATGAAATATACATTAAGTACAATGCATTTTCTCTTAGACCAAGTAAAAAGTCTCTCGCCCCACCCCCCCAGCAGCTCTCTGGCCCATTCCCACTCATTTTCTCTCTCTCTCTCTCTCTCTCTCTCCTCCTCCTCCTTTCCTCCTCCTCCCTCTCTCCCTCTAGCTCTCTCTCTCTCTCTGTCTCTCTCCGTCTCCCTTCCCCAAGAACATATCACTAATACCGAGGGTCTATGCCCCTCCCCCAAATCACTAGGCCCGTGCTCTTCCCTGAGGACGTCACACTCATAAACCCTGCTTGCGTACTCATCAGATTGCTGGGCTTTCATTCTTCACCCCGTCCTCAAGAAGAACCCAGGCTCCCAGAACACAGGTGCATGGTGGAAAGTTCCTGAATTTAATTGCCCAACCTTCCTACCTCGTTAATCCATTGAATCAATAGAACCCTAACCTGAAAAGAGAAATTTCTTAATCATCAGGCACAAGGGCACCGGAATCCAATTTACATTTCCCTTGCAGCTTTTACTGGCAACGCATAAAGCCTCAGGCTACAGTGGCCATGTCAGGGTCCACAGTCTGGAGATGCCATTACCTTAAAAGAGACCAGACCCCAGGAAGTGATGTCAGCCTTCGGACCTGCCTGAGCGGCCCCACTTGCCTTTATATTTCTTATGTATCTATAAAACCTTCCATCCATTCTAGGAACAGGGTGATGGCCTTTGGACATGAGTCTACCATCCTTCCAGAATGCTGGCATTCTGAATAAACCTGCCTCTCTTTTCACCAAAAAAAAAAAAAAAATTCAAAAGATGTTATATCCCATCCACTATTTTTCGAAATATAACTTTAATGCATTTTCCTAAGTCAATTTTCATACCAGAATGTGAAGAGTTTAGCTTGTCATCCTATTACATTTAAATTTTGAGAAATAAAAAACAAGAGGTCTTCTGTTCTTCTGGATATTTATATATTAAGTATTAATTTGGAATCTTAATTATTATGATTTAATTGAAATATAAAACTAGAAAGCAAACACAGATGTCAATATAAATTTTTTAAGGCAGTTAAAAAGGGAATGGCTTTTGATATCTGTGGAGTCAGAAAAGTCGCATCCAGGCCACAGGCATCAGAACTCATTGTGTCCCAGTCCTTCTTTGATACACTCAGAAACCCCTCAGTCAAATGGATTGCTCCCTCCTCCACAAAAAAAGGGAAAGTAGCTCATATTTTACACATAACTCCTAGGAAAAAGTTTTTGGATTATTTAACGATTGAGATCATCAATAAGCATGTAAGTGACTCTGTTACTGATGCATAAGCATAAAGGGAGAAACATCTGTGGAGTAAAGAAATAGCTATTGTAAATTTATGTGGTCAGGGTTTGTGTCCTTTACCTTTGCAAATCTCAGAGCAGTCTCACAGGACCCACATATTTGGCCAAAGACTTATGATGGTTCTGCAGAACTCAGGGGTATCAAGAGAAGACACACCTGTGCTCCCCTCTAAGGCTGAAAGACACACATGAGGAAACAGTCCTATGGCACTTTTAGCTCTAATTTAAAACATGTAAATGGATAAATACCCAGAAAGAGCTATCATCCAGAGAAGTGAGGTAGAGATGGTCTTTTATAATATACACAGGACTAAAATAACGTCAATATGCATGTTATAATGTAAATTTTTAAATTTCTGTAGAGGAAATTTACAACAATATGTATGAGAAAAGGTATTGCATGCAATATTGAACACATGAATTAAATTAAAATATTCATGAAATTATTTATCTTGATGCTTTATAATTTTACCTGTTGGTACACAATTTCATCAATCTTAAAACACAAGGTTTAAAACATAAACAATTATAAAAGAAAACAATTTGAAACATTTCACCTATCTTACAAATAGATATTAGTAATTTATTAAGAGGTAATTTACCATTCTTGGTAATACTTGACCTTGTTGGGCACCCGTTCTGCCCTAAGAAACACCTAAATAAGCTGCTATAAGCTGTTTCTTACAGATATAATGGCTTTTTCTTTCACAGGCTTCGCCACGAACACCAGTGCTGCCATACAATAAGCATTTCCGTGTATTTACGGTTTGAGAGAATGAAAATCTGTAATGAAAAATAAAATAGTACCATATGATAAAAGGAAAAGAGAATGTTCAGGGATGGTGCTTTTATTAAATGAGAGAACTTTTTAAAGCATTTTAATGAGATATTAGCATACTGATTGAACCATTGCATGATTTTCATTCAATAGCCACAGTTTTCACGATATTACAAAAAGCATTTCTTGCTTCAATAATCAACAGCATTGAGGTCAGGAAGTTTTTTTATACTTGCCATTGTTATTCATGGTTTTGATATGTAATAAACTTTGCTTCTATTGTGTTTAAAGAAGTATGGGCTAATGTAGCCTAGGAAGAGAAATCAGAGCATAAAATTTGTCATTGTATAGTGCTGCAAATACCATGCTTATAAATGAACTTAAGATTCTAAGATTACAAATATGCAGAAGCCCAGCATATTTGAAACATGAGGATGCAGAGAATATTGGGCTTCCCCAGAATAAAGAAAATGGTGGCTATCCTGTTTTCCCGGGACAGCTTCTGTGTGTGAGCATCGGTACATGCACAGCACATCCAAGTGTGTGTACCAAGGAAGAAAGAGAAAGTCAAAAGCTCTTTTATGGTCACAAGTACACCAACTTCATGTCACTTGGGCATAAACTTGGATGTTCTAGATGGGGCTAAAATTGTTACCATTTTGTATCTATTCTCTTTTCTGTATTCCTAGGCTCCAGGGAGGTTATTTTAGCTACAGAATCCCCAGATGTTACATTCTTTGGTCAGGCCTAAGGATAAACTCATAAAAAGGCCTTGAGTGGGAGAAACTTACAGATCTGGGGAGAGAGCAGAGCCATCCTCCCACAACCAGGCACCATGTTCTTTATTGTAAGACAGTCCAATCCAGAAAAGGAATATAGTTTGGTTCGTAAAACTCTGATGGGAAACAGACACAAACATATTAACTTAAATTGAATCTACTCTGGGAATAATGTGCTTTCCACAAAGTCAGTGTTCAGCATCAGATCCAGACTTCAAGTCACTTGAACTAAAATCCTGTCTTATTTCTAGTTTAGGAGGTATAGCCACATGTCCCATATTTTCTCACTATAAGGCCTGTTCATTTATGGAGACAAAGTATCACAAAATCTCATTCTTGAAGGAATGAAAAATATTATAAAGGGGTTAAATTTTCACAGAATACTTCCTTCACAGATACCAACAATCAAATTTGATCCCAAATCACCAATATCTTATTGGATAAAATTCTTGGATAGACCTACTCTACCTACATTCAACACATGCACTCTTCATGTACCTGGAGAAATCTTTCACTTTTTCTTAAGAACTGGGTAATTATTATGATCATGTTCTTCATATGCATTGCACATTTTATCCAAGAATGATAATGAAAGCTATATAATTACCAAAGAAATTATAATTTCAATTAAAGGTCTAAATATTTAAAAAGTTGTATGGTTGGTTATTTGAATGAAATAATGACATATTGTTTCTTTTTCGATTTCTCTAAAACATCTCTTGAACTTTATTTGGCAACCATCTTGAGTTTTTTTTCTTAATATAAATACTTGAGAAATTTCATGTAGGTTTTATACTGAGTATTTTATTATTATTAGAAAATCATTATTAGTTCTAATATAATCATCCAGTTATGATCTGACTGGAAATTGCAAAGTATTCTTCTTACTTCGATAACATATTTTTCGTAGGTCAAAGAAAGTGTAAGAAACTGCAATTAAATACATACCAAATCATCTTTGTTTTGCAACTGAAGCAGGCTAGAATTTTGAGAGGCACAGAAATTCCTGCTTTCGTTCCAAGTTTTTATTTTATTAGAAATGAAGTAACAGTTGCATCGGTACCTAATCCACTTTTCTTGACAAGAACAGCAGTGAGAGCCTAAAAGAAAAAATAAAGGATGACTGATGACATTGGAGTTTGAGGTTTTCTTTTAATTAATTGGTTAGTAAAATTATATAGCTTTCAAGTGTACAATTCTATAATACGTCATCTATATATTGCATTGTGTGCTCACCACCCAGAGTCAGTTCTCCTTCCATCACCATCTATTGACCTCCTTTACCCTCTTCTACCACTCCCCTCCCCCCTTACCCTCTGGTAACCATTAAACCATTGTTTGTGTCTATGAGTTTTTGCTTGTTTGTCTTGTTTGTTGCCTTAAGTTTTATATCCCACATATGAGTGAATCATATGGTTCTCGACTTTTTCATTCTAAGTTATTTTGATTGGCATGATAATCTCATGATCCTTCATTACGAGGCTCAATGTTTTAACTATTATTTACTCATCCTAAAATCATTTGTTATTTGTTTCCACAAATATTCTTTGAGAATCTACTACATACACCAAAGTTCAGAGGATATTTATGTGATTGAGTCAGACATGGCCCTTTTTCCTCATGGAGGTTATAACATTCAATTATTTATTAATTATCATGTTAATTAGGGTAATTATCCACAAGACATTCATTATATTAAAACATCCCTTAGAAGTGTGTAAAATTGGTGGGGGGAGGGGGGAGGAATGGTTAGAATAATCTTTTTTGAGGAAGTGACCGAAAGTTGAGCTCTGGTGTATACACTGAGTAAATTAGAGGAAAGAGATATTTAAAGAAGGTAAGCATTTTAGCATATTTCCTGAGTCAGAAAAGAGTATGGTATCTTGGGAGAAAATTGATATATATTTTCAATATTTTATTTCCAAAATGAACATAAATAAAACAATTAGTTTGAAGTTCAGTCATACAGTTTACCAGTGATAGTGCCTTAAACATGTACTATTCTCAATTTAGCTACTCACATGTTTGGCAAATGAATGGTTCTGAAGTTGTAGAGAGAATGGTGGTTACCAGTGTCTAGAGGGTGGGGGAAATGAAAACATGTTGACCAAATGGCATAAATTTCCACTTAGAAGATTAAAAAGTTTTGAGGATCTGCTGTATAGCATTGCGGATAGAGTTAACAATACTGTGTTATGTACTTCTAAATTCCTATGTAGTACATGTTAAATCTTCTCACAAAACAAAAGAAATGTTAATTATTTGACATGAAGGAGGTATTAGGTCATGCTACCACGGTAAGTATGTTGTAATATATAAGTATATCAAATGAACACAGTGTATACTTTAAATTACACAATGTTACACATCAATTATATCTCAATAAAGGTGGAAAAACAAAGAGAACCAAAAATATAAGTAAATGCTATAGGATCACAAAAGATGGTAAGACAACTTGCAGAACATTTGAAAAAACACATTTAAAAAACTGGACTTTGACCTGGCTTACACTGGATAAGTAGGGTCAGACTTGCAGGAAATCTCTTAAAAATGTGCAGAGGATCTGAATAGACATTTCTCCGAAGATGACATACAGCCAACATATATATGAAAAAATGCTCAACCTCATTAGCTATTAAGGAAATGTGAATCAAAAACAACGAAAAACAACCTCACACCTGTTAGAATGGCTATTATCAACAATTACAAGTGTTGGACAGGCTGTGGAGATAAAGGAACTCACATACGCTGCTGGTAGAAATGTAAACTGATACAGACACTATTGAAAACAGTATAGAGGTTCCTCAAATATTTAGAAAAGAATTATCATATGACCTACTAATCCCTTTTCTTGGCTTCTGGGTATCCATCTTTCCAAAATAACTGCAAACACTTACCCATAAAGAAATATGTACCTCTATGCTCATTGCAGCTTTATTCACGTGGCTAAGACATGGAAATAACCAGTGTCCTTTGATAGATAATTAGATAAAAAAGATGTGGTACATATACACAGTGAAATATTAGTCATAAGAAAAGATGAAATAGTGGATAGATCTTGAGATTATCATGCCAAGTGAAATAAGGCAGACAGAAAAATTCAAAATTCGTATGAATTCATTTGTATGTGACATATAAAGCTGAAAGCAACAAAAGAAGAAGACAAAGAAACAAAAACTCATAGACACAGACAACAGTTTGGTGGTTAGCAAAGGGTAAGGGGGTGAGAATGAGGTTGAAGAGGGTAGAGGGGATTTAACTTATAGTGATGAAAGGAAATTTCACTTTGGGTGGTGAACACACAATGCAATATTTAGATGATGTATTATAGAATTGCACACTTGAATCCTATATAATTTTATTAACTAATGTCACCCAAATAAACTTAATTAATTAATTGCAAAAATCTCTGCATTATATTCTGAATTATTGAATAAATAGAAGGAAAATTATAGAGATATATAAGTATGAGCAATCCCGGGAGAGTAATTATGATTAGCTGAAATATTTATTATAATTTATTTTTCATTTGTTACTTAAACGTAAGTACTCATATAGAAAAAAATATTTCATTTCAGGCTATCTTACCCTTATTAATTAAATAAATAAACGATGCACATCAGTGTAGTTTAATTCTTACATTACAAAACAATAAAATGAGACTATCCTACAATTAGTACTTAAACTTGTATTCCTATGTGTAATGGTTCATCAAGCTTCTGTGTGGAAAAACCAGGCTGTCTAATTTCATCCTGCACAAACATTAAGTTCCAAAGTATGGACCTTACCTTCCTGAATTTCTGTGGTTCCTTCTGTTGATGACGTTGGCCGAATATTTTGTTTACGAAATGCTACAGGAAATGAGTAGAAATTACTTAATTATAAACAGGTTTATGGGATAACAAATCATTACACATCAGTAAATTGAAACATTTATTATTAAACTTTTCATCACAGTTTTGATTTTGATATAGACTTGCTTATACTTACAATTTTTCAACAATATCCCCAAAGTAGCCATCAACACAAGGCACGTTACTGCTAAGATCCCAGAAATCAACCTCCATGGAGTGGTCTGAAAAGCTGTATAGAAAGAAAGGTCGGGTGATGCCTTAAAGAGCAAACCCAAGAGCTGAAGGTGTAAAAGCAGAAACCTGGAGGAGAGAATTTAAAAAGTTCTTTGCTTTGAAAACCCAATTATCCTGCCAATCCAACATTGAAAAATGAAGACATTCCATTCAGAAGTCCACCTAACTCCAAAATTTTTATGAATATGCTTAATTTAATGACTCGGGCTGACATACCTGCCATGAGAACTGCTGTTCCAGTGTCGATACTGGTAAGACGCAATGTGTGCTTGTTCAAGAAGCACGTTGTTGGATCATGGAATTGAGCCAGAGGCTAGGAATATGAACGTTGTTTATGTAGAAATTCAAAACAAAATTGTATATTTTAGTCATGTTCTTCAATCATGCATTGGTGAGACACGATGTATATAAGATGAACGAGAAGCAGTAAATTCACTAGCTTCTAAAATGTTCTGGAAACCACAATACAGGAAATTCTCAGTGCATATATGTAAGGTGAATTCTTTGACTATCAAAGAAGAGCGTGAGAGAAAGTTTGTTTCTTTTGATCTTTAAATATCTATCATCTTTAAAAAGTATTTGAAATAGAGAATAAAATATACTGAAAGCTGAGGTGAAGTTACTTAATGTAATAAAGTCCCACAAAGCGTTTTACTCTTTTAATAATGAGAAACATTTACAATTTATCTTGTACAAAACACAGATTAAAGCACTTGGCATATATTAGCTCATTTATTTCTGAGAATGTCTTGATAATAAAGATACATAAATATACTCATTTTAATGATGAGAAAAGTAAGGCAGATGTGCACACTTGACTAAACTCACTAACTTTGAATCCCAGGCAGCCTTTCTCCAGAGCACATATGCACATATTTCATATCACACCTATTCTTCTGTGTGTCACTGTGTTTTTTAATTTTCATTTTTTTTAAAGCAGAGATTCATTGCTATTTCCATCCCTCATTCTGTGCTTCTGACACTGCCTCATTAACTCAGCTATTACTAAAAGAAAATGTCAAAAAGTTAGCACCAGAGTGACTCCCCATTACTGTTCCATGAACACACACACACACACACACACACATGCGCACACACACACACACACACACACACACACACACATTCACACCTGTGCTCTACACCTGCCTCAGCTGGTCTAGGCCCTTCAGTGACTCTGTACTCTCCAGGTTCTGTTCCCTGAAATCTTTGAACATGACTGCAGTTGCTTTATGTACTTATTTGTACTAATACTTTAAGTATCATATTAGTTACTGTGTTATCTCATTCAGATAATATACTGATAATTGAATTTACAAGGTTTTGTCCTCAAATGAATACCCTATCGGGAGAATTAAAATGTGGCACAGATGGGCTGAATAAGAACCTTGAGAGTAAGGATCTTGCTCTATGATTATATATCTGGAAATATAATCTACCATTCACCCCATATGAAGCAAACTTCCTACGTTTTTTGTTGTTTTATTATATATGTTTAAGTAATACAATATGTCAGAGATGCAACTTTTTGAAAAAGATGGACTTATCAACCAAAAAAAAAACAAACTAAAAGGAAAAAAAAAACAAGAATTGTGATTTGGTATCTCAGGTTCCCTAGAATTAAAAGTTTCCATCCTTTTAATTTGCATTTTGTGAATAGAAGTGCTTTCTCTGAACCACAAAAATGGATAACATTTAAATTCTTACCTGATAGTGCAAACATAAAAATTCGTCTTCCATATTTTATGTAAATCCAAGTGGAGATACATAATGTATAACTGATCCTTTGCCCACTTGAAGTCTATTCTTTTTCAGTTTTAATGTTAGACAAAGCTGAAAAAGCAAAAACTGCCTAATTTTGCTCATTTTTGCCCCATATACATTGCCTTAACTAAATAGAAGTTTAAGGGTTTGCTTTCAGCTTTAGTTTTGAAAATATACAATTTTGTGACAGAATATATCATAGGGGTTATTACTACACTTCCAATACTAACAGAACCATCTTCATTTGGAAATTACTGTAAGTTTTCAGAACCATATTTGATGAGACTTAAATCAACTGTTGCCTTTTATTTTTCATCTTTGTTCACTGACTCAGAAGTAAATTCCATCAAAGGTGTGTTAAACACCTCATATGTTAATCTCTTAATCTGGAACAGAGTATGTGCTAAAGTCATAAATATCCCAGGTCCTTTTGTCATATATATATATATATATATATATATATATATATATATATACATACATACATATATGTATATATATATATATATGTGGGGACTGTTTGGGATGCAAGCTTTAAATAAAGAAATGGGTGAATTGTGTTCCCCATTCCTAAGACTATGAAAAACTTTCTTGACAGGATGATAAAAAAAATAAACTAATGGTGTGATGGTGGAGGAGGGTAAGTAGATAAAAGAAGAGAGGACAGAGTGGCCAGACTGAGTGCAACAGACAGGCAGGAAACATCCTGTGAGCAGAGAGAAGGCAGGGTCCTTCATCAACATCCCAAATCATTATGAGAAGTGAGTAAACATCTGAAGACAACTCTATTCTCTTACCATTTTCAGGAGAAAATTTCTATTTTGAAAAGATAGCATCCATCAAATTTAATACCATCAGATACCTAGTTTCCTGCAATATTGAATAATTTTTGTAAGCCCTCAGCAAAATAAAAAAAATAATAATAACAGCAATGAATTAATTAAAAACCTAGATGCAACTCTAATAGTCAGGTAGCAAAGGCTATTTCTGAACCTTGGTTTTGTTAGACAAAAGAGCTCCAAGATACATTCTTGGCTAGAAAGTGAGAAAGCAGCTCTTTAGACTTTTACCGAGAAATGTGATAAAAGTGTAAAAAACAGAATGAAAAGCAGTGCCTCTTAGAGCAAGACAAAGTGAGAACAAGTACAAAAATACTTGTTCATTTTCATAAATCCTTCAGCGTTTTTGTTTTATAAAATACATACATGTTTTGCCTTGGAGAAAAACAAAAAACAAAACAATAGACAGTTGAGAGAAAAACTCCAAAAAGAATAATGGTTTGGCTTTTATAGTCATATTGTAATTATACTTTAAAATAATACTGAAGTTATTTTAACCTGTGTTGGCCCGTTGAGTGGTAACATGGTGAAATCAAGTCCTATGTGCCTCAGTCATGTCTTCAGTGCTTGAAATATACAAGTAGATGCAAAATAAGAATATCAGTTCAAGTATCTGAAGATATCTCTGTAACATTATTATGCAAGTGAGTTTTACAAAACATGACACATGATATTTAGGAAAAGTGTTTTCTGGATTAATCAGGAAAAAAAAAGGACAAGCGAGAAAGCACAAGGAAAAACACCCAAGAGAAAAAATAGACAGAGCTGAACAAAAGTGAGCAGGACATAGACTGTGTTTCTCTTGGGAAAATGTGGAAGCGATCACTGAGAGAATCCTGGTTTCATATCAAAACGTTCAAATTAAGTTTAATGAATTTTTTTTTAAAAACAGGAAAAATGTTAAATAATAATTTTATTTAAAGTAGAGATAAATTTAATCATTTCCAATATAAATGGCTTAATAATTATTTACATAACATTTTTACAATGAGATAAACACATGTTGATCGTTTACTGTGTTGTAAAATGAAAGAAATGAGCATTTTCTAAGGTATAACTTCCCAATTTTAATCATATAAGATTTGAATTTTTCCAAAGAAAATAGTTAAATAAACTATTTTTTACAAATATAACAGTGTTAATTTCATAACATTTCCCATTTCCTGCACTCTACAGGATGATAAAATAGAGTTCATATGTATCTGTGTGTGTGTGTGTGTGTGTGTGTGTGTGTGTGTGTGTGTGTGTGTGCGCGTGCGCTCACAAAAGGAACAGAAATCTAAAATTTTTACGAGCCCAGAAACACTTTCGTCCTGTGAGCCTGCTGCAATATCTGGGTAGAGGTAAGTTATTATTGTTTCCTTTGTTTTCTTGTCTCAAATTTCAGGTCCTTTGACCTTACTTTTAGTGCAAGTCTGTGAAATGTGAATTGCGTGGTCAGACCCCAGCTTGAACTAAAAAAAAGCAAAAAATCATTCGAACCAGAAGACACCTAACCATTATGGTTGAAAGCAGAGCCATCCTTTCATAACCAGGGGCTCAGTGTCTGACTGTACACAGGTGGTGCAGAGTTTCTGAGCCTGGTGGGAACAGAGTCAAACACAGGAAATGAATGCCTTTCATCGCAGCTCCGATGACACAAGATTCGTATATTTACTTCTGCCTGTGCAAGTCTGGACACCTTGCATTTTGAATAAAGTAAATGCATGGCATCAGCCTCAGCCATTTAAAGTCATTCTCAAAAATTACTTGTCCTATAGTAAAACAATAATCATATGAATCATTTTTCTCTTTCTTGATATAGTGCCCCCCAACCCCCAAACCCTCTCTCTCTCCACATTCAGCTATGGAATACAAATCAGCACCAAATTGCACTCAGCAGAGGTCAGAACTTAAATGTTTTAAGCAACGGTTCCTTCCTAAGTAATAACAGAGCCCATAGCCAGACATATGAATTCAATGAAACTTGGTGAATAGAACACTGGGTCTGTCTTAGAGTGTCTACAGTCTGTCAGCTTAGGTTTTGAATGCAGCATTAGCAAGACTTTCTTTATTAAAAAGATGCACTAATTTTTTTTTCTACATCTGATATGGTTCCACATCTTATTTCAGAGACATAGAAAAAGCTACATTAGTTTAAATCAAATGACAGTGATGACTGAAAAATTATTATGATTCAAAGCACTTTAATTTGTTAAATAAATCAAGGGATGAGATAAATTTTACTCTCTATTGAAGCCACATGTTAGAATTATGATCACCTTTTTTATCTTTAATTTCCTTAATTACAAAACAGAAAATTCATGTTTATTTAAATAATACATCAAATAGTAAGAATCTTAAATATGTATACTTTATTCATGACTTAGACCATTTGATGAAATAATATATCTTAGTATTTAATGACCAATTTTTTATGTATTCTAATTTTTTTTTTTAAAGGAGGGCAGTGTCACTGGCCCTCATATGTGGGATCCGAACCGGGGCTCTCTGGCATCCCAAGCCAGTTCTTAACCATCACATCACTCGGCCAGCCCATATTCTAAATTTTTCTAAGAGTTTAATAACCATTTCCAAAAACCTGAATTTTACGCTATTCATGTAATTTGTTAATGTACCTTATGTCAATTTTATAATAAGCATTTTAGAGTACAAGTAATAAACTGATAAAATGTTCAAAAGTCCACTTAAAGTTCAGCTGAATTATGAAGTATTTTCGATTTCTCTCAAAGGAACCTGTGTGATACTTGGTTTGAGAAAATATTGATGTAGCACTACTCTCTATCTGAAATAAACTGGGACT